AAATGAATAAATGGACCAGCAAACAGAATGAAACCCAAATGTTTCCCCTACAACTCAAACTACGAAGCACGTATAGTCCATACACTAAGCAGGTGGAGAGACATGCTGGTTTTCTAGGGGATGTGCTTATAGGGCGCATTTGGGCGGGGATTACTGTAACTGCTCCATTCTACACTAGGTGGCGCTGTTTAGCTTACTGGGGTGGATCAGTGTGGAGCTCCTGCGTGTGTGGGGGGGTGGAGATGGGGGGGTGGGAGGAGAGAGGTGGAAATGGCTTCACCCAGCTCCCTAGTCTCTGGCACAGGAACTTTGCTCTCTCACCAACCTGCATTTAAGTATGCTTCCTTTGTCTTGGGCCTTGGTCCACTCCACACTTCTACCCTGTCCGTGTCCAAGCCCTGCACCTTCCAGATAGCACCTACCTCCAGAGTTTTATCTCAGATGGGGTTGTGTTTCAAAACACCATGCTTCAGAGACCCCCACACCTTGGACCCACTCTGACTCTCTGGGGGGAGGGTCTGGCTGAGCAATGGCTGGGTGGAGGCTTGCCCCAGAGAATGTTCATGTGATCATGCAGTGGCAGAGGTTCAGAAATTGTGGCAAATCACAACACATGGCGGTCACCAGGGTTTCACCATACTCTGGTGTCCTTTTCCCAATACCAGCAAGCGAGGCTGCTCTCTGGGGTCCACTAGGACCTTTGCCTGTGTGGAGGCCATATGGCCTCTACCAAATGTTCTCCATACAGGGGAACTGCTTCTCCCTGTGTGGCACACAGACCTCTCAGACTCTGTTGCCTTCTCCTGGGGATTCACCCTAGTTCCTCACCACAGCAGTGCCAGGCACTGAACTCCAGAATTTCAGGTTCTGCACTACAGTGTTTATATTTTGGTGAACATATTTCTTGTTCTGTCTCCTGCGAGTGTTTTCACTCTTTCTATCCAGCTACTTTCGGGGGAGCACTTTATTGGATGATCCCGATGCACCGTGCTCTCCCCCTTTCTCTTTCTCTGTCCGCTGTCCACAAAAACAGTTCCCTGACCTCTGCAGCTTTTCTCTCCCCCAGTTCACCTCTCCGCACAGAACCTGCCAAGTTCTGTGTCTCAAGTTGTGCAATATTGTTGTGTTAATCCTCAGATCAATTTCCTAAGTGTGCAAAATGGTTTGGTGCTGATCTGTGTTTCACAGATGAGAAAAGCTGAAAGTCTCCATGCTGCTCTGCCATCTTTCCCTCATTGACACTTTTGAGGCAGGTAGGGAGAAGATGTTTGAGAATACTTCAGTGAAGCCAGCATATGGTTGGTGGTGGAGGAATGACAAGAAATGAGCCAGGAAAGGCCAGTTGGGTCCTCATTCAAAAGGGCCTGAGTCACCAGGCTAAGGAGTTAAGGCTTCATTTTGTAAATAATGGGGAGTCATCAAGGGGCTTAAAACAAGAGTGACCTGGACAGATTGGAGTGTTCTAGATAGGCCAGGCTGAGGCATTGTGGAGAATGCTGTGGAAGAATTGGACTGGAGTCAGGGCTCACTGGAGTGGAATAACATGGCACTTGAGCAGTGAAGGTAGAGACTGTCTTTTAAGATCTTTAGTAGGTAAAATTGGCAGGCACTGAAAATGGTAGTTAACACTCATTAAGTGCTTATTATGTGCTAGGCATTATTCTCAGTGCTCATTTGAATTATCTTCCACAATTCCCACAACCAATCTATGGTATAGATAATGTTACTAACCTCATTTTATACATGAGGAAGCCAAAGTATAGAGAGATAAAGC